AATCACTTTCCTTTTTTCAAGAATTTTTTTATTAAGGAATCCTTTTCAAATAGTATGTTCTGGTTTTCTTTTTTATTGATTTAGATAATCAACTAATAAAGTAATAAAGATTGGATTATAAGTTCTTTTTGTGAAAATAGGCTAAATTCATTTTTAGTTTAGACGGATAACTTCAGAACAAGTCGATGAAGCTTTTGCAACACAACAATGATTCAAAGGAGTCATTTTTAAACTTAGCTATCTCTTTGGCAAAAATAACAAAATTAGAAATTGAAAATAAAAAAAAAAATGAATGTTTTTATTATAATCTTCCAATCAAACCGAAACTCTAAAGTAAATTTAAAAGAAATGTAAGGAGTCTGAATATGAAAATAAGAGCTTCTGTTCGTAAAATTTGTGACAGATGTCGATTAATACGGAGAAGGGGACGACTTATAGTAATTTGTTCCAATCCCAGACATAAACAACGACAGGGATAATAAGACTTCGCAACTTAACTTAGTAACTAAACCAATTATAGAAATGAAAGAATCGTGAAATGGATATATCCATATAGTATATCGCTGACTCAGATTTACAAAATGCTTAATGGTAAAATATATATCGAGAATTAGTTCGCGTAGGAAGGGGGGACGTATTGGTTCACGTCAGAATGCACGTAGAATACCAAAAGGAGTAATTCATGTTCAAGCCAGTTTCCATAATACCATAGTGACTGTTACAGATGTACAGGGACGGGTAGTTTCTTGGTCCTCTGCCGGTACTTCTGGATTCAAAGGAACCAGAAGAGGAACACCTTTCGCTGCTCAAACCGCGGTAATAAATGCTCTTCGTAAAGTAGTGAATCGAGGTATGCTACGAGCCGAAGTATTTATAAAAGGTCCCGGTCTCGGAAGAGATGCAGTATTACGAGCTATTCATAGAAGCGGTATATTATTAACTTTTATAAGGGATGTAACCCCTATGCCACACAATGGCTGTAGACCCCCCCAAAAAACGACGTGTGTAGAAATCAAAAGTGAACCTATATCAAGAGAAATAGAAGATTCACTAATATACTAAATCAAAATTTTTATGGTTCGAGAGAAAGTAGCAGTATCTACTCGGACACTACAGTGGAAATGTGTTGAATCAAGAATAGACAGTAAACGCCTTTTTTATGGCCGCTTTATTCTATCTCCACTTATAAAAGGTCAAGCCGATACAATAGGAATTGCGATGCGAAGAGCTTTGCTGGGAGAAATAGAAGGGACATGTATCACACGTGTAAAATCTGAGAAAGCCTCGCATGAGTATTCTACCATAGGGGGGATTCAAGAATCGGTACATGAGATTTTAATGAATTTGAAAGAAATTGTATTGAGGAGCAATCTATATGAAAGTTGTGATGCGTCTATTTGTATCAAGGGACCTCGACATGTAACTGCCCAAGATATAATATTACCCCCCCATGTACAAATTGTTGATAACACACAACATATAGCCTTGGTTGACGGAACCTATTGATTTTTTTATTGGATTAAAAATAGAGAGAAATCGCGGATATTTCAACAAAGTGGACCTTCACTTTGACGATGGAAGTTATCCTATAGATGCTCTCTTCATGCCGGTTCAAAATGCAAATCATAGTATTCATTCTTATGGGAATGAAAAACAAGAGATACTTTTTTTGGAAATATGGACAAATGGAAGTTTAACACCAAAAGAAGCACTTCATGAATCCGCCCGAATATTGATTGATTTCTTTATTCCTTTTTTCCAGATGGAAGAAGAAAACTTATATTTAGCAGATGCAAAACACACAATTCCCCTACCCCCCCTTATCTTTTATAATAAAGTGACTACACTTATAAAAAAAAAAAAGAAACTTTCATTGAAATTAATTTTTATTGACCAATTAGAATTCCCTCCCAAGATATATAATTGCTTGAAAAAGTCAAATATATTTACATTATTTGATCTTTTTAATCAAAAACAAGAAGATCTTTTAAAAATAGAACATTTTCAACTAGAAGATATAAAACATATATTGGGGATTCTAGGAAAATATTTTGCACTGTATTGATTATAAACTTAGGTTTAATTAATAAAAAAAATAAATTGAAACATTCATGAATATGAATTGACGTGTATCTAGGAAGAACTTTCAAGAAACGCTTCCCTAGATACACAAGCTTTGGTTTTTTTTAAATTGAATCAAAACTCCACAAAACAAATTTAAAAAAGACCTAAAGTGAGGGATTTTTCAATAGGTAATGTTGCACCAATGCCCAACCAAAAGGTAACTCCGGTACCAATAAAAAACACAGTGGTTGCTACTGGACGACGAAATGGGTTTTGGAATTTATTAACATTCTCTAAAAAAGGTACTGTTAATAATCCCGTAGGTACTGAAAGCATTAAAAGAACACCTAATATTTTATTAGGCACTGTACGAAGTATTTGAAATACAGGAAAGAAATACCATTCAGGTAATATTTCTAACGGGGTTGCAAAGGGATTTGCGGGTTCACCAATCATTGAGGGTTCTAGAACTGCTAAACCTACATTACATGCAATAGTACCAAGAATAACTACTGGAAAAATATATAAAAGATCATTGGGCCATGCGGGTTCCCCGTAATAATTATGACCCATACCTTTTGCCAATTTAGCTCTTAATACAGGATCATTCAAGTCAGGTTTTTTTATTATTGGGATAGGTGAAGTCTTAGAGATCCATCCCCCGAGGGAACCGGACATGATCATTTTTAATCATCCAGCTCGAGCAAGACTCAAACAAATAATTAAAAAAGAATTAATCATTATATGAATGAACAAATACATTTCTAAAGCTAGGTAGTTTATAGGTTATCTTAGAGTCGTTAAGAGTCTTTATATTCATTTATACACAAAAGATAATCTATGATATAGAAATAGTTCAATGTAAAAGAAAAAATTTGTTTTTATCAAGTGAACCTTCTCTAGTCAAAAAATTAAATTTCTTTTCTTATTTGCTTACGCGTCAATACTCAAGACCCAAGTAGGCTTAATTTTCTGATAGGATCAAGTGCTTTTTGGGTCGTCTCCAACCTTAGAATGCGTATTTATCTGAAACTATTTTCAAAAAGTTTTCATATTTTAAGATACGCAGAAAGGTTTACTTGTTACTAAAAAAAAGTCCAGTTTCTTTTCTTCGTTAGATCTCTTGTTTCACTCCGATAGTATTATCGAGATCGGACCAATGGAGAGGAAATGACTCCATTTACAGATTCTATATTAGCGTTTAAAATGTTAAATAAAAATAAAAAGTTTCTAGGATCTTTTTATATTCAATATTGGATTTTACGGAGCCTAATCATGTATAACATGATTTTTATATGATCATAGAATAAATTATCTTCAAGGGAACCAGCTTATCCCTCACATAAGGCTTATGCGCCAATTGGAACAAAGACACATTTGGGTGGTGATAATTCAAATGTGGTAGGCTTATATCTACATGGACCAATCAATAGTTCAGGTCGCACACTCCCATAATCCATTTTATCGTAAAATTGATCTTCAACTTCAAAGAATTCCCCTCGCCTATTTGTGTATTCATGTAAAAAAAAAAGAATATAGGAAGGGTGAAGATAAATATAAAAAACCATTTCTTATTCTTTTAAAGAATGGATTTTTTTTAGCAATGAAATACTATTACCCCTCCTCCAAGTGAGAAATAACATATCTTACAAATTTTTTTTATTTAGGATCTCTTTTTATTTCTATTTTGATTTATAAAGGACCAGAAATACCCTGTTTACGTATCATTGAAAAGTGCATTAACATAAATACGGCAGTAATAAGAGGCAAGACAAAAGTGTGTAAACTATAAAAACGAGTCAAGGTGGATTGCCCCACACTAGCGCTTCCTCGTAAAAATTCTACCAAAGGTGATCCTATTACAGGAATAGCTTCGGGTACACCTGTTACAATTTTCACTGCCCAATAACCTATTTGGTCCCGAGGTAACGAATAACCGGTTACGCCAAAAGATGTTGTCAATACAGCTAAAATTACACCTGTAACCCAAGTCAATTCACGAGGTTTTTTAAACCCACCTGTCAGATACACACGAAATACATGCAGAATCATCATCAATACCATCATACTTGCTGACCATCGATGAACCGATCGGATTAACCAACCAAAGTTCGCTTCAGTCATTATGTATTGAACAGAAGCAAACGCCTCTGTAAGGGTCGGACGATAGTAAAAAGTCATAGCAAACCCGGTAGCTACTTGTACTAAAAAACACGTAAGCGTAATTCCCCCTAAACAATAAAAAATATTGACATGTGGAGGAACATATTTACTAGTTATATCATCTGCAATCGCCTGAATCTCCAGACGTTCTTCGAACCAATCATAGACTTTATTGAGATAGGGTAATTTCCCCCCCCTGAGAACCGTATATGAGACTTTCATCTCGTACAGCTCAACCAAAAATGTCCAAATACTCATTGCGCCGGCCAGACCAACACATAGATTATATTCAATAAAATGCGAAATCTATTATTTCTTATTGATTTTTTTGGCACTAATACAAACATATCAAGTTAGCTCAGTTGTCTTTATTTTTATTTTGACGGGCTTTTTGAAGCTTCTCTTTACCTATCTTTTTTTTTATGGAATGATTCTTTTTTTATTTGTTTTGTTTATTTGATTGGATAGGAATTACCTTGTTAAGACCCTATAAATCGAAAAAAACCTAAGATTCCTATTTAGAACCACGATTAAAAAAATTGAAACGTAATCAAGGATTCCCTGAGTAAGAACCTTTTTAAATTAACTTTAACCATACTAAATAGATGGAATTTTTATTTTGGTCATCCAGAAGGTTTTAAATAATCAAACCTTCTTGGTTTCAAAATTTTTTTGGAACCCGGGCACGAGGTCTTAATAGGAAGTCTGAATCATAGTTCAAATAGATCTCGTGTTTCAGATACTCGAATCCATATCTGACGAATCAAATAATCTCTGGTAAGTAAGATAACCAAATTTTATGGACTATGAATAGGATCCTTTATAACAAGTCACACACTCATATTCCGGAAATGATAGAAATAAATAAATAACACGATCGAACTACCACAATTACATAAAATAGAATGCATTCTAAATCTTAGTTAAAAGGGCGCCGCTTTGAATAAAAAAAGTGGGACTAGGTTTCAATTCATTGAAATTCCATCCAATAAAACGGAAGAATTATAAATCTCTAAAATAATAGATAGAAATATCGCGAATAAACCCATTGCCAAACCCATTAAAGGTGTTGTTCCCCACCCCGGAGCTACTTTACCGTATTCTGAATTCAATGGTTTTAATAAATTACCGATAGTAGTTTGTCTTGGACGATATTGAGAACCTTTCTCACTAGTTTTTGTAGCCATAAATCCTCTTTTATTCAATTTTATTTATTGAGAGATCTGTTAACTTTGTATACCATTGCGTTATAAAGAAATGATCTTAGCATAGATCCTTTGGAGTATTTTAATTATATACTAATAAAAAAATGGAAACAGCAATCCTAGTGACGATATTTATATCCGGTTTACTTTTTAGTTTTACTGGGTATGCCTTCTATACCGCTTTTGGACAACCTTCTCAACAGCTAAGAGATCCATTTGAAGAACATGGAGATTAGTTGAAGTAATAAGCCTCCCCACGGTGGAGGGCTTATTACTTCAAGTTACTATAGCGAAAAATTATTTGATCTTTTTCATTGGTACTTTAGGGGGTTCTCGAAAAAAGATAGCGAAAAATATTATTCCTAGAGTCGAGACTAAGAGGAATGTATAAACCAATGCTTCCATAAATTACATCGTAGTTTCCAATTATAGCTTTCCTACCTATTTTTGTTTTTTTTATCCTATATCTTACCCTATATCTTACTTCGCTTCGGATAAAGAAAGAACGAAAGACAGATATCAAAATAATAGGATAAATGATATATCAGACAGCTTGTCGTCTTGTCGTTGGATCTCCCAGTTTTTGGAATACTCCAAACTCTACTTGCACATCTAAATCTGGGTCAATCCCAGCAAAAACATCTCTGAAAAGGGTTCTAGCACCATGCCAAATGTGTCCGAAAAAGAAGAGCAATGCAAATGAAGCGTGCCCAAAAGTAAACCAACCTCTTGGACTACTCCGAAAAACCCCATCAGATTTCAAAGTAGCACGATCTAATTCAAAAATTTCACCGAATTGAGCGCGTCTAGCATATTTTTTCACAGTAGCCGGATCATTAAAACTTACTTCATTGAGTTCACCACCGTAGAACGCAACAGTGACTCCTACTTGTTCAACACTATACTTCGATTCTGCCCTTCTAAACGGAACATCGGCTCTAACAATTCCATCACTGTCTACTAGAATAACTGGAAATGTTTCAAAAAAAGTAGGCATACGGCGTACAAAAAGTTCACGCCCTTCTTTATCTCTAAAGACAGGGTGGCCTAACCATCCAACTGCTATTCCATCCCCGTTATCCATCGAACCTGCTCTGAATAATCCTCCCTTTGCTGGATTATTACCGATATAATCATAAAAAGCTAATTTTTCCGGAATTTTCGACCAGGCTTCTGATAAACTTTGATT